TGGGTTCCCCGTGGGAAGCCCTTCTCTCCCATGCACTCCTGCTGCTGGTGCTCCCCTCTCCTGAAACGATTCCCTTCCCAGCAGGAGCAGTCAGAGTGACTAATCACACGAGCTGAGCTCTGCATTGTGCCGAGCTGAACCCAGCAGAGTATTTATAGTGCAGCTAATAAAGGTGTGGAGGCTTTGCTTTTGGTTCCTTGCTCCCTTCCTCCGCTGTTGAATGAAAACCTGCCCACACTGAGCTCCTGCTCTGCCTTGGGATGGGGCTGTGTGCTCAGCTGGAGCTCAGCTGCTGCGAGGAGTCGAGTGTGCACCAGCAGTGAGACACAGACCCTGTCCCCTTGTCTAGCTTCTCTCCTTGTCCCTGAAGGTGAACTTGCACTCCCAAGAGCCTCAAAGAGATGTTTTCCAAGTGTTGCAAAGCATCAGGGAAGCTTTGAATCAGTGTTGCTGCAGTGTTTGTGTGTAAGTGGGAATGGGTTTGGGGTAAACATGTGTTCTCCTTGCCTGGGGTGTCGCTGCTGGGCAGTGGAACTGATTCCTCAGACATAACTTACAGTAAGGAACAGGAGTTTGGTGACAATACCTGATGATTTGGTGGTGGTGCCTGACATTGAAGGTGGTGAGACACTGGCACAGTTTGCCCAGGGAGGCTGTGGCTGCCCCAACCCTGGCAGTGTTCACAGCCAGGTTGGCTAAAGCCTTGAGCAACCTGCTCTGGTGGGAGGTGTCCCTGCCCAGGGCAGGGGTTGGGGCTGGATCATCTCTAAGCTCCATTCCAACCTCCTAACATACTGTGATTCTATGGTGGAACAGGAGTTTCTGAGAACCCCTGGCACAGCGACAGCTCTGCTTGCCTAGCCTGTTCCCTCCTCAGTGCTCTGTGAATTCAGTTCTGCTCTGACCGTGGTGGTGATGTGCTTCCCAAAATAACTTCTAAGATCTATCCAGGGATCTTCTGGTGTAGTTGATGCTCCAAGATAGTTGAGATAGGTGAGGTGGTGATGGATCTTGTCCCTGTGTCACCCAGACTGGATGCTCAGACCTGTTCTGAGGGGTCTTGGGCCGTCCAGCTGAGGCTTGCAGAGCTGGTGTGCACCAACCATCACACATCACACCACCAGAGCTGTGTGTCCTGAGCCTGGAGCCTTTGGCTGCTCCGGAGGCACTCCATCACCTGAAGGAGCAGTCAGAGAACCTTCCCAGCATTGTGTATTGTAGCTACACCTGTAAAAGCAGTATTTTTGGCATGAAAGGCTGCAAGGGGCCTCTCCAGCACCATGGGAAGGCTCTGCAGCTCCCAATCCATTTTCCTTTGAACCCTTAGGTCCATTATGATGGAGAAAGACCTGTTCCATGTAAGGATTTATTGAGCAGGAGCCAGCTTCAGTTGTGGGGTGTCATATCTGCTCTGACTTAGAGGGCTGTGTGTCTCTCACAAGCCTGATGCTGGACTCCATTGGGAAGCTGTTGGGAAAGGCTTGTGTTAGGGAGTTTAAGCAATCCTGAGGACACCCCATGAGGAGGGAAGCTTGTGTGTGCCCCTCAGAAGAGAACCACTGCCACCTGGTACACTATGTCCTCCTGGAGGGGTGTGGGAGGAGTAACAATCCTCATGGAAATGCAGTGACCCCCACAGCTCAGCCTTCCAGATGTGCCACAATGGGTAAAAGGAGGAGAGTTACATGGAATGAGCTTCTACATCCCCTTTGTTGGACCAAGAAAGGTATCTCTGTTAGCAAACGAGTCACAGTACCTTCCTACAACAATAACTCCTCAAATTGAGAGTTCTCCCTTGTAGCTAATTACACCCTAACAGTCTCATCCATCCTGAGGAAAGCTGTTCCCGCTCAGCTCAGGTGCACACAGATGCTCTCCTGGTGTAAACCCTCCGTGGAAACTCGCTGCTGGGAGTGAAAATAGCTCTGTGGGTGCATGGGGATTGCTTCACTGGCTCTCCAGAGGGATTCCCACTGTCCATCCTGCAACATCTGGGATGTGTCCAGGCACGTCTGCTCCAGGGGTTCAGCCCCTTGAGCCATGTTTCCACCTCAGTGCTGGGACTGAGCCTTTCAGAGCAACCTGGTGCTTCCTTTGGGGTTTTTACAGTTCCAACCCTGGCATTAATTTGAGGATAACAGTGAGATTGGAAGCATTTTGAGTGGCAGTAGTAAGCTCAGGATGCAGCACATGGAGTGTGTGCTGATGGATATGGTTACATCATGGCTGTAAGAGTGACCCAGCTGCTTTGATATCGGGAGCAGTTTGGGTTGGGTTTTGCCTTTGGTTTTTCCCAGATGAATTCAAAACATTCCCCAAACCCATCAAGGTGTTGCTATAATCCAGAAGCTTCCCCAGTAATGGATAGATATAGTGATAACCAAAATCAGCCAAGAAAGCTGAATGGGATGAATGTTTTCCAAAGGAATAGTTTTGCAGTTCTGATGCTTTATCCTTGTCTCCCTGTTTCTGAACTCCCAGAAAGCGTGACGTCATGCAGAACATTATGCAAATCCTGGAGTCGGTGCAGTTGAAGTGGGAGCTGTTCCAGAGCTGGACGGACTTCTCCAGGCTCCACCTGTCTAACAAACTGGCCATTTTTGGCATCGGGTACAACACCCGCTGGAAGGAGGATATCCGTTACCACTACGCGGAGATCAGCTCCCAAGTGCCCCTTGGCAAGCGGCTCCGGGAGTACTTCAACTCGGAAAAACCGGAGGGTCGTGTGATCATGACCCGAGTGCAGAAAATGAACTGGAAGAACGTTTATTACAAATTCCTGGAGATCACCATCAGCGAGGCCAGGTGCTTGGAGCTGCACATGGAGATCGACTGGATTCCCATTGCCCACTCCAAACCCATTGGAGGGAATGTGGTGCAGTATTTGTTACCTGGAGGGATCCCCAAGAGCCCAGGCCTGTATGCCATCGGATACGAGGAATGCCACGAGAAACCTCCCTCCCCACTGCCCGAGCACCGGGCGCCCGACTCCGGCACTGACACTCCGGGGGAGCTGGAGGTGCCCTCACTGCAGGCCTCGCTCCGGGTGGATATGGAATCCGCACGGATCATCTACTGTTACCTCGGCATCGCCGAGGTCCGGACTCTCCAGCAGTGCCTGTTTTTACACTTCCAGGCAAACACCAAAACCTTCAGCAAGGATTGGGTCGGGATCAACGCCTTTTTATCTCAGAACTGCGTGGTGGAGCCTGGCGTCTCACCCAAATCCATCTACATCAAATTTGTGGAAGTGGAGAGGGATTTTCTGTCCGCTGGCTCTCTGGTAGAGTGCCTGGAAAAAGCCATCGGGTACCCCTTGAAATTCAACAACTGACTCTCGTCCTTCATAAGGATCAGGGCATTCCGCCCCGTTCTCCATCTCACTGGGATCCTGCCCGTCACAGCCGGGCACATCGGACTTTGCCTCCTGGAAACGCGTTCCGGGGTGTGCCAAGGCTCGCGGGCGCTTCCCACGTGCCGGGCCCGGCTCATCCCGGCTGGATTCCCTGCGGAGTGGCGCGGCAGGACAAGCCCCCGGCCCGGGACACCACTGTAGGTACATTCCATGTGGGACAAGCACGTCCACGGGGCGTTTCCAGAGAAAAACTGGGGTTTGGCCTTTCTCTATTCCACAGTGTCTCACTCAGACGTGTCCGTCTCAAGTGTTCCTATGGATCTGAACCGTAAGCAATAGCCACCGGCAGCGAGCCCCGACCGCGCCCGGGACTGTGCGACCACCTTAGGTATCTTGTACATAACTTAGAACTTCACTTTTTTCACCATCGAGTGTTCTCCTCTCTCCAAACAGTGTTGCCTGCAAAAAGACTTTGGGATCTGTGACGTATTCCACTTCCTGAGTAGTGTTGCCATATCTGCTTTTATTTTATTTTATTTTTTTAACATTAAAATAATTCCTGGCCTTTTTCTCTTCATTTTTGTTTTTCTTTTGTTCTCTTAGTTTTCTTTCTCTTCTCTTTTTCTTTTTCCTCTTTATTTTTCTTTATCTCTTTCTCTTTTTGTTTTTCCTTTTTCTTCTTCCCTTTTTCCTTTTTCTTTTTCATTTTCCTCTTTTCTTTCTTTTAATTTTATTTTTTATGATTATTTTTATTTTCTTTTTTTCCTCATCTTTATTTTTTTCCTTGTTCTCCCTTTGTTTCCCTTTCCTTTCGGAGTTCCACACCTCTCTCTGAGGATAACTTGGCAGCTGGGAAAACATGATGATTATTTTTATTTGTTTTGTTGTTGACCCAATGCTTATGGATACAATCAAAGCTGTGAGAAGGGGAAGGTGGGGAGGGGACAGGGATT